CTGGCAACAAGTCCACATTGGCCTCTCTTCTCAGCTATACAAGAAAAATCCCTTTTTTTTTAAACACTGAGGACAGCAAGTTACCTTCTGAATCTCTTTGAGCAGCACACCATCTGTCATGAACTTGATCTGCGTTTCATCCGTGACGTTCCCTTCGTACCGGATTTGGTAGGAAACCACTCTGTGGGGAAACGCCAGGAAAAAGCATGGGGGGAAGCACAAAGTCCCTGCCACCCCCAGAGCACCTCAGTGCCACCCTCCAGCAGCGTCCCAAGCCTTTTTGGAGCTCACCTGTGCGACAGGTTCATCTCCTTGGCGACCCTCTGGGACATGGACACGGCGGCCACGCGCCGAGGCTCCGTGATGCCGATGGCGCCGCTGGCACTAACGGGGTGGGGGAAGGAAAAGCAGGAATTGTTCTCATTAAACAGAGGAGCAGCCAGGAAAACGACACCAGGATTTCTCACTGATGGTTCTAGATTAATGGCATCAGTCACGCAGCCTCACTCTTGGTTATAGTTGGGATAAAAACACAGACAGGAAGCGCTGGGATTCCCTTCTGGTATAGCTGTACTGATCTGAAGATGCATGGATTACAGCTTAGTTTTCCCCAAAATGCTGTCTCTGCAATTCCATCTGCTGCAAATAAAATCCAATTCCTACCTGGCATATCCAGCTTCGTAGAGGAACTGAGGCACTTGGGTGGTTTTGCCACTTCCCGTCTCTCCACAAATGATCACAATGGGATTGTCATTAATGGCTTCCATGACCACTTGCTCTTCAGCAAGGATGGGAAGCTTTAGTCTTGCCTCCTAAATAGTGTAAAACACATATTTTAGTTGTGTTGTTCTTTTGTTTTCCCCAGGATTGACAACTGTTACCCCCCTCAGACCATAAAACCCACAAAAAGGAATTCTGCAAGCCCATGACTCAGAAATCTCAAAAACAGCTAACACCACACAAGCCTGGCTGAGAACCAGAGTCATCAGAGCAGCTTCCCAGCAAGCAGAGGGCAAGCCCTGCACTTTAATTTGTGAAATTCAGAGTCCCTTGAGTTTTTTAATACAGTGCTTCAAGGGAAAACTCATTTCACAACTGCCTCGTCTGCTGAGACTTGTGCAGGGCTTTTCCTGCTCCTGCACGATGCCCTACCTACAACAAATAGGACAAAAGCATCCAGCATAAAACAAGAGAGCTGAAAGGGACTTCAGAAGACTTCCCAGCAAAGGAAAAGGACTGTTAATTAATTCTGTATGTAAAACTAAAGATAAATGCTAATAGCCTAAAACAAGGCGAGTTTTCCTGCTGCTGGAGCAGAGCTGAGTGCAGCCAGCTGCTGGAACACCCCTGACAAGCACTGTGCTGCTCACAGAGCCTCACCTGAATCTCAGGACTCCTGTCCACAGGGACAAACACTGCAGGCTTGCAGGGAGCCTTGCTGGGGGCTGCCTGGGGCGCTGGGGCTCTGGGACCAGCTGGAGGCTGCTCAGCCCCTGCCTTCCCCACTCCTCCCTCTGCCTTTTCAGCAGCATTCCCAGCTGAGGACTTCTCAGTGTCCTGTTTCTGCTCTTCCTCCTCCTCAGAACTGCTGGGCTCCTCCTCAGGCTCTGATTCTGAACCTGAGCTGTGCCTTCTCTTGTTGGCACCGCTGATGCTCCTGATCCTTTCAGGGACATCAGTCCTGGGCTCCTGTGTCACCCTGGAAACAAAACATCTACGTGTGAGCTGGGTTTTGGCACCTCAAACCAGATATGACTTCCCCAAAATCCAGGGTCTCCACTCCTGGAGGTTTTCAAAACTCTGCCAGGTAAAGCCTTGGCTTTGAGTGATGGATTTGTGCCTAAGCATTTCCCATCCTGGGCTTTATCCATTTCTTCTGAAGGCATCTTTGTAGTTTAATCTACAAATGCAGGTCTTGACAAATCTAGCAATTATGGCCAACATCAGTAGATGTCTTCCAGCACAAGAAAATAAGTAAATGTTTATCCACCAATTTTGTCGTTTAGCACAATTGTTAAAAGCCTGCAGATTGTGTCACCCACCTCATCCTCATCCCACAGCAAGGACCAAGGTCTTTTAACTAACATCCTCTCACACAAGAAATATCAGATAAAAATAGCAAATTATTTAACTCCATCCATTCTGAAGAACCTGTCTGCACCGAGAAGAAAAAATAAATCAAGGGAAAGCTGAGGATGCTGCTGTTCAAATACAGTGATCAATTGCAAGGGTTCCACCTAAAAATCTCTTTACCTTTTAGCTTGAAACATGCGCTCCCCAGTGCCCAGTTTGGAAGTTGTGTACAGGAGTTTCATTTCTGCCTCTGAAGCCTGAACCTCGTTCAGCTTGCTCAGCAACTCAGCTCGCTGTTTGGGGAAAACAACCAAAATCAGTGCTTGCTTTGCCCAGGAAAGAATTTCATTTCAAGGTTTGCACTTCAGCATTCCAAGGTGTGCTCTGGCAAATCCTGCTGTGACGTTGTAAAACCTTCCTGCTGCTCCAGGGGCAGACCTCCCTGGTGAAGATTTTGGCAAAAATAGAAATGGGGACTCGACAGCACAGCAGTGAGCAGCAAAGAGAACAGAATTGAACTGAACCACTGGAATGAGGCCTGGAGCAATGGGAGCCTCCCCCAAATCCCTCCCGTGGGACACAGCGTGGCAGGAGGTCAGGCAGCACAGGGTGAAACTGCCTCCAAACCAGAGCTCCTCTGTGAAATCTTTGTTCAGACACTAAAGGAGCAGGAATTCTGCCTGGAAAGGTTTTACAAAGAGAGAAAAGCTCTTATTTCCACAGTGAAAATACACAATAAGCATTTCAGAAGCACTGACAGGCCAATGTTGGGGTGCAGGGAGGTTTGCAGCCACAGCTGCTCACAGCATGTTTCACAGAGTGCTTTAAAGTGCAAAACCACCCCTGAGTGCCAGTGCCGTGCTCCCCAACACCTGCACACCAAACCATCCTTTTAAAAGAGCACAGAGTTGCCAGAAGCAGCACAGACCTGTTTTTTCTTCTCCTTCTGCTCCAAAACCTTCTGCAGGTTTTTCTTCTGTTTCTTGCTCAGGGGTTTCTTCTGCTGCTGCACAACACAGGTGACTTTTTTCTTCTTGGCTTTTTTGGCTGGCAGGACCAGGGCATTGCTTTCATCAATTCCCTTCAGCGTTGCTCCATCTGAAGGCAAAGGTTTGATTATTTTGATTATTCACCTGTGCCAGGTGGATTATTTTCAGCACACTCTTAGCCAGATTTAGCTGCTTCAAATAAACACAACCCTCATGCCCAGCCAAAAAAAATCCTGCAACATCAGCAAGGGCAAAAGACCTCAAAACGGGGATTCAATAACCCTGAGCTTTCTAGAGCCCCGAGGGTAATTTTCCAAGATTTATGTAACAATATGATGCAATTTTTGCCTTTTTACTCAATCACCGGGGTCAGGACACAGTGTGCCCTGGGGTGATCCCCCCAGTGTCCTGCTTCACCTGGGCACCAGTGGATTTTAACACTAAAAAACTGTATTAATATATTATGAATAATAAAAATAGAATAACGAACGCCATTTTTATACAGTAACGCCATTGTTTTTCCCTTAAAGTTTGAGAAAGTGATAAGAGATATGTTTAATAAATTATTTAATAAATAATTATTATTTAATAAATTTTCGATTATTTAATGAATAATGAATTTAGACAATTTAATAAATAATTTATTAAATAAAAGATGATTTAATAAATAATGGAACCACTGAGTGTCGTGATTGGGAAGGGACCCCGACTCCTGAACTCCCTGGAGGCAGTCACTGCTGTAACAGAGCCGGGGAGTGGAGGAGGGAATTAATTCGGCTGGAAGAGATCCCAGAGAGCACCGAGTGCCACATCCAGGCACGGGGAATCCACCGCCTCCCCGGGGGGTTTAAAACTGAAAACAATAAAACTAAACCAAATAAAATTTCGGCCCGACTGTCCCTCAGGAGCACAGCCCGGCCCCGCCGCACCTCCCAGCTCCAGCGGCAGCTCCAGCGGCGGCTCCGGGGCGGGCGGTGCCGCGGGTCCCCGCGCCTGCCGCGCCTTCCAGTTGTGCCGGCGGCGCGCTCGGCCCATGGCGGGGACGGGGACGGGGACGGGGACGGGAACGGGAACGGGAACGGGGACAGTAACGGGGACACGGCACAGCTCGGCCCGGCTCGGCCCGGCCCCACGTGCGGCCCGCGCTGCCGCCACTTCCGGGAACTGCGGTCTCGCGAGAAAGGGCGGGAAAGGGGCGGGGAAAGGGGCGGGGAAAGGGCGGGAAAGGGGCGGGGCGGTCTCGTGGGATGGGGACCCCCCAGAACCCATTCCGGGACCCCCGATCCCACCCCATTCCTTCCCATCCCACCTCATCCCTTCCCCTCCCCCTCCCCTTCCACCTCATTCCTTCCCTTCCCTTCCCTTCCCTTCCCTTCCCTTCCCTTCCCTTCCCTTCCCTTCCCTTCCCTTCCCTTCCCTTCCCTTCCCTTCCCTTCCCTTCCCTTCCCTTCCCTTCCCTTCCCTTCCCTTCCCTTCCCTTCCCTTCCCTTCCCTTCCCTTCCCTTCCCTTCCCTTCCCTTCCCTTCCCTTCCCTTCCCTTCCCATCCCACCCCACCCCACCTCATCCCATGGATCCCATCCCAGGTCATCCCCTTCCATCCCACATCATTCCTTCCAATCCCTTCCCCTCCCATCCCATTCCATCCCATCCCACCTCATCCCTTCCCCTCCCATTCCATCCCATCCCATCCCATCCCATCCCATCCCATCCCATCCCATCCCATCCCATCCCATCCCATCCCATCCCATCCCATCCCATCCCATCCCATCCCATCCCATCCCATCCCATCCCATCCCATCCCATCCCATCCCATCCCATCCCATCCCATCCCATCCCATCCCATCCCATCCCATCCCATCCCATCCCATCCCATCCCATCCCATCCCATCCCATCCCATCCCATCCCACCCCTCAGAGCCTCACCAGCCGCTTGCAGCTCAGTGCAAAGTCTCAGTAAACATTTATTCGAAGCTTTGCCACAATTAACCTTAAGTTGATTTGTGAAACTGGTCTACAAATACTGAACTACGGAGTACATGGTTTGGATGGTCCGATAAAGGAATAAATAAAAGCATGTAAAGCTCTGTAAAAAAGAAGTCTGGTATATTGTAACTAGTTAACAGGATTACCAGCAGGATCTCGTATGTGTCTAGGATCGGAAGTGAACACACGGCATCTCTTCAGACCAAATCATTTTTACATAAACAGTTGTACAAACTTAAACACTGTAATCATAAAACCTGATGTACAAAACAGGATGTGAAATCACTACCATCAGTGCCAACAACAAGTGCTACCACAGCAAATATAACTTCTGAATAAAAGGAAAGGATTGGTTTTTACATGTGCTGTCATCACAGGTCGATGGAATTATCCAAAAAGTTTAAAATACATGCGGATACAATAAAACCTTTTATTTTCCAACCCAGACAAAGAGAACTCATGGTCACTTAACACCATTAGCTGCCAAATACAGATCAGTATGTGAGGCAAACCACACTTAAACACTTACACACCACCAAAGAGCAAAGGTTGATACTGGTCTATTTTCCACACCGACGATGCAACGACGAGTCTGGAGAAGCAAACCACGTGAAGGAGGTGCTACAAGTACAGCACTGAGTTCAATGCACTGACACCCAAACCACCAGCACTGAGCTGTACTGGGTGTGTACACTGCACTGTGACACCCAAACCACCAGCACTGAGCTACACTGGGTGTGTACACTGCACTCTGACACCCAAACCACCAGCACTGGAGTGCTCTGCCAGAGGGGAAGAGCACAGCAGGATCCCAGAGCAGACAGCTGAAAACCTTCAGGAGTGGGAACACTGCAGGATTCCAAAGCAGGCAGGTGAAAACTTTCATGAATGGGAAGAGCACTGCAGGATTCCAGAGGCTGGGTTGCAGACCAGGCATCCAAAAACCTTCAGGAATGGCAACACTGCAGGATTCCAGAGGTTGGCTCCCAGAGCAGGAAGAGCACTGCAGGATTCCAGAGGCTGGCTCCCAGAGCAGGCAGCTGAAAACCTTCAGGGATGGGAACACTGCAGGATTCCAGAGGCTGGCTCCCAGAGCAGGCAGCTGAAAACCTTCAGGGATGGGAACACCGCAGGATTCCAGAGGCTGGCTCCCAGAGCAGGCAGCTGAAAACCTTCAGGAGTGGGAACACTGCAGGATTTCAGAGGCTGGGTTGCAGACCAGGCATCCAAAAACCTTCAGGAGTGGGAACACTGCAGGATTCCAGAGGCTGGCTCCCAGAGCAGGCATCCAAAAACCTTCAGGAATGAGAACACTGCAGGATTCCAGAGGCTGGCTCCCAGAGCAGGCAGCTGAAAACCTTCAGGGATGGGAGCACTGCAGGATTCCAGAGGCTGGCTCCCAGAGCAGGCAGCTGAAAACCTTCAGGGATGGGAACACTGCAGGATTCCAGAGTTGGCTCCCAGAGCAGGCAGCTGAAAACCCTCAGAACCCCGGTGAGTTCCCGATCCCGGGCAGCCAGACCCATCCTTGGCGCCTGTGCCAGCCGCTCACACAGGCATGGGCTCTCCAGTGGCACAGGAAGGTCCAGGAGCAGGATCTGTCCTGCAGGAGCAGCCAGGTGGGGCTGTCCCTGTGTCACCTGTGCCCCAGCAGGGCACCATGGCTGTGGCAGAGCTCCATGAAGTCACAGCAAGAAGCTGAAGCTACCAGGGTTGTCCTGTGCCATCCCCACCTGGGACAGGTGATGCTGCTGAGGTTTGTCCCGTGCCATCCTTGCCCTGATACAGTGACACTGCTGAGGGTTGTCCCGTGCCACCCCTGCAGGTGTAACCCACAGGTGACACAGAGCCCTGCCTGTCTCTGAGATGCTCCGTGGGATACAAAAGCAGTGCAGCCACAGGCACGGGTTTCTAAAAAACAGCAAAATCCTCCATGGATAAACTAGATGGCCCAGTATGGAAAACACTTGTAAAAGGTATTTACAAAAGTTGAAAGAGATTAAGTACAATACCACATTCATGTCCCCAAAAGCGCTTTCACTACAGTGCATGTTTAAAAATACAGAGCATTTTTAAAGTATATATTTTTATATATATATATATATATATGTATATATATGTGTATATATATGTATATATATATATATAAGATTAGATTGTGCTTTAAAAAAATCATTACTTCTGAATTTGACTAACGTGAAAACTGAGTGCTGGGAAAAATACTGATTAAAAATACCCAATTTTATATATACTGCTTTTCACATAACATTTTGCTATACATGGGATGCAAGTAAATATAAAAATACAATTTTTCAAGCAGCAGGGTGATCGAAATAAAGAGTATCAATATAGGAGGGCTGATTTTACAAAACTAAGATAAATGATTAGAGTGAGACAGGGAGAAACTGTAATCCAAATTAACATTTATATAATACTTTCAAAGAAATCTTTATCATAGACAACTCTTAATATATAAATGTTCAGTATTTTTAAAGTTAAATATGGATTACACAAAATACAATCTATGCAAACTGACCCATGCACATTGTCCTAAGGAGGCGATGGAGCCACTGACACGAGCAAGGTTTGCAAACTTTGGTCCTCAGGTCTCAAATTTGGCAAAACACATCAAGACCTGACAAGCTTTACTAGACAATTCCTAATTTCCAGGCTGGCGTTTCAGCCCAGCCCTCTGTGCACAACAGTAGGAGAACTGAGTCTACAGAGAAGACTCTGTAATACTATGGAAAATGAGCTGAAAGAAGGAATTTACTGTAATTTACATTTTCAGCTTGACAAAAGGGACTATTTGTTGCCATAGTCCCTATCTGATCACAGGAAAGATTTTAAGTTGTGACAACCAGTTATTCAACAACTCTAAGCCACGTACTTGTTAATAAATGGGGTGCAGGGGGATTTACAGGTGACATAAAAAATTAAAACACATTCCAACCGTGCCAAGTGCATATGAACTTCAACCGTGTTGAACCAAAGTGATCACCAGGAGTAAAGGCCATTAACATGGATTTAAAAATAACCCCCATGGAAATGCCACACACAGACCCAAAGAGGTTAGGCAAATAATACACATATTTCAAGAACATTAAACTTCAGCATCAAGAGAAAAATAAATTCACCCCAGTTACATTCAGCTAAGCATCACATCCAGCTTTGCCCAGTGGAAGAACAAGCTGTGCTCAAGCTGCTCCAGCCCGTCCCACCAGAGCTGGCACTGGCAGGCACACCTGGGGAACCTCCTCCTCCTCCTCCTCATTCCCTTCCTTGGTAGCCAGGCCCCATCCCAGAACAATTCTTGTTGCGTTTTTGGATGTAGTTGTTCGTTTGGACCCTATGGAATATGGAATGCTCCAGCTGTGCTCCATCCTACCCCTCGTGCTATCAGAACTGTGCTCATCACTAGGGGTAGGTGCTTCCCTTCCCTCCTCACCTCTGCGTTCTTGGGTGCTGCTGTTTCCAGGTGAAACCACATTCCAGCCTTCCTTCCCTGAGGTTACCTTAGTTTCAGTAAACTAGCACAGCCAGTGATGCCCTACCAAGCTCGTTAGCTCTAAGAAATACAGAAATCCTGCAAAATAAAATCGCTCCAAAGCTCCACGGCTTTGAAAGAGAACCGTTTCCTACACCCTCCTCTGAAAGGTGACTCGCTTTTCCCAAAACCTAATGAGGACATAGACTTCAAGCAAAAAGCTCCTAAAAAACTATTGTAATTTTAGAAAAAAATCCAGATCTTCCTGAAGGTAATTTATTGCCGCTGATTGGTCCTGAGAAAGCTTTAAGCAACAATGCATTTGCACGTGTTTTGTCTGCTGCCTTTTCTGAGAAGGTATGCGGGTCCTGAGATTAAAAACCATGTTTTAGTCTATGTACTTAAGCCTGGAAAATGCTTCACTGTGCAGATTGAATATGAATTACAATTTGTCACGCTACATCTTCCTTCTGTGCCAATTTATTAAAGCAGATTTCCTTCCAGACACTAACAAATTAAAGTTCTTGGGATGAAATGCAATGATAAAATGCCACACGTGTGCCTCCTCACATTGGACTGGCATTTAAGGACTTCAGAACTTCCTTCTCCCTCATTCCCCACCTCCTGTTAAAAGCTATGGTGTGAATTTTTTGGCCTGGATACCAGAAAATTCCTCATCTGATACTCTATGAAAGGCAACTTCAAGGCAATGGAATAAGCCAACAAAAACACAAAAACATTCACAACTCTGAAGAAAAAATATGGACCCACAGCAGTTACTTCTCAATGGAAGTGCTTGGTAGCTTGAGATTTTTTTTTTTCTTTTTAACTGTTAGTGTCAAATTTGCATATGTTTAACTCAATTTCAATATCTGAAAGACTACTCAATTTGCTTTTATAAAAACTTTACAAAAGATGTTTTTAAATGCTTGTAAAAGTAAGCGTTTATCTACTGAGAAAATTCTAGTACTGGATAAAACTCTGAATATACAGCTGAATTTTGTAAATGTTTTTTCTTTCTCCTAGAAGTCTAACGGCTGAGTGTTTAACCTAGATAAATTAAGTCTTAGACACGATGAAAAGTTATAACTTCGCACACTTTTTACCATGTGATGTTTTGTTGCTTTGTAACTTCGGATGAGACAGTGCTTAGGATTTTTCCGGAGCTGGTGCAGAGTGGTCAGCAGGGGCGGGTTCATTGCTCGCTGCCCCTGTCCAGGTTCTCGATCACCCTGGAAAGGCGGATGTTCAGCAGTCTGATCTGACTATCCAGGTGATCCATCTTCTCCTCCAGGCTGCTGTTGCTGTTTCTTCTCCAGTAAAACCCAACGGGCCCCGTCATGAAGTAGACGGCCACGACGAAGCAGAGGGGCAGCACGGCGTGCTCCGGGTCGCCCTCGTACTTCTGCAGGATGTACACACAGGACAGGGTGAACAGGGCCACCCTGGCGATCCAGAAGAAGCGGCCAAACAGCATGTGCAGCAGATAGAAGAAGAATCCAAGGAAAAGAGATAAAAACCAGTAGGCCAGTAAAATGGCACCGATCAGCAGGAGGGCGCGGGTCGGGTTGTTGGCAATCGCTGCTGGGCTGAAATAATGAGTCAGGTTGGAGGCTGAAAAACAAAGGGAAATGTGCAGGGTGTTAATGAGCGTGGGCTGAAGGTGGCACGGGGCAAACACACGAGCACAGCTCCAAAGGGTCAAATCCCCACAGCAGTGGGGTCACGGATGTGTTTTCTAAAGTAAAGGGTAAAGCTGGTTCACCTACTTCTAGATGAACCTTCTTCAAACCACTGGCTCAGCTCCAGCGATTCAACTGAATTCAATCCAGCAAAGGCGCTAAAGGCTCTTTAAAGACAAACCACTGTAGAGCCTGAGGTCAAAATTCATACTGGGGCTGCAGATCCTGCTTTGTCAAAGCTACATTCTAAAGGCTCTCAACTGCATTTTTCTTTTCTCTGGTCCTCATTGATTTCCCTGCACTGTTCCTGGCTGTGTGAATCCATTTAATGATGACACCAAGGAACCAGCCGTGACTGGTAATTCATTCTCTACACATCCTGTAGATACACATACAGAAATGGAATGGTGGGGTTCAGTCTTCTTGTTTGAAGATACTAACAGGAAAATCAAAGCCATGTGAAGCAGAGACACCACTGATGGATGTTTAAGCAGCATGATAAAATGTAACTGTTTTCCCATTCGCTTGTAAACACTGATACAGGCTGAGACAGTTCAAGGGTGAGCAGGCATCACACTTACCATCAATTCCAAGAACATCTAACAAATCAGTCCATATTCTCCAGAATGTGTCCATTAATACATCCACCCCATTCACAAACCTCTCTGTCAACCTTGAGAAAAACTGAGAAATAAAATTGAAAATTAAAAAAATCCTCAATTCCTAAATAATACTTCGAGACTTATTTGTCATGGGTAGAATTGTAATTAATTAAGCAAGAATTGCAGATTATTTTGTAGTCCCCACGGTAAAAATGGTAAATCTGAATTTTTTTAAGCTCTGTGAATCATGAATTTATGCACTGCAATTATCGTTACTGTAGATATTTTGGAATGTAAATATATACGTTGGCAAGATTTAAAAATGCACTTTATTGGCTTTACTATCGTTTTGTAAATTAGAGAAAACCCTATGACCAACAACTAGTAAAGCAAACCAGAGAATTAGGTTTATCGAGCAACTGAGAGATGTCCCCAGCAGTCTCAGGTGTACTCAGAGGTCAATCCAACAGCATTTATTGCTGCCTGAGGATGGCAGGCACGGAGGAACGCACAGCTCCCATGCCCCACGAGCACAGGATGCTGCGGACAGCGGGGATTTCAGCCGGCCTGCCCGTCTCCCCACTCACACCCCAACATTTGAGCGTTTAGCCGCTATTTCCCCCCAGTTTGCTGCACGCCTGGCCTCCCTCGCCTGCCTCCCTGCGAGCTCCGATGCCCCACCAGCACAGGATGCTGCAGCCAGCCGGGATTTCAGCCGGCCTGCCCGTCTCCCCATCACACCACCTACATTTAAGCGTTTAGCCGCGATTTCCCCCAGTTTGCACGCCTGGCCTCCCGTTTTTCTGCTGCGCGCCGGGCCGAGGCCGCGGCCGCTCCAGCAGCGCGGGGCGGCGGAGGCGCGGAGCTGCGGCCGCACCGCAGCACCGCTGGGGAGGGAGGAGAAGCTCAGCAGCCGGACGGGGAGGAGAGAGGCGAGCAGCAACCTCACCTTCTGCAGGGCCCGCACGTTGTCCTCGCCGAAGAGGCCGCTGACGCCCTGGTAGAGGCCGCTGGCGGCGCGGCGGAGGCTGTTCTGGCGGTCGGCCCCGCGGCTCCGCGCCGCCCGAGCGCCGGGCCCCGCCGCGCCCAGCAGCAGCAGCAGCAGCAGCAGCAGCGCTCGGAGCTGCACCCGCCGCGCCGCCGCCATGGCCGCCCCGCCGCAGCTCCGCCCGCCGGCCGCAACGGCCCCTCACGGGCGGAGCTCCGGAGGTGAGGAAGTGACGGGAACGGCGGCGGGGCCGGGAGAGGGCACCGGGAAGGGACGGGAGAGGGCACCGGGAAAGGCCGGGAGAGGGCTCCGGGAAAGGCCGGGAGAGGGTTCTGCTCCTCTGGGCTGGGCACGGAGAGCGCGTCCGGAGCGCTGTGCCTCAGGGTGCGGCGTTTCTGCTTGTCAGGTTCTGTGCTGCTTTGGGGTGTAGTGCTGAGCTTCGTGTTGGTAAGCTGTCGTCTCTGGATAAAGCAATTCCTTCTCTAGCTGGGCACCAAGGAGAAATGATCCAAATCTCAGCCCCAAGAGCATAAGCAACGTGGACTGAAGAGAGAAAAACGAGAAGGATGGACTTTATGAGCTAACGCTACAACTGGATAATTAACTCCAATACGCAAATGGAGCAGAATTTACAAAAGTGTGAGACCCCCTGACCACTCGTCTTTTTTGTGACCATTTTTGGGTGCAGTTGTGCTGCCCAAGGTGGATCCATGGAGGAGATCCTTTTAATAAATCCCTGCTTTGTTCTGTAACTCCGTCTAGTCTCTGTTCTAGATCAGCCTTCTCAAGGCATCGTGCCCAGCTCGGGGCTGCTGAGTGCAGGAGAGATAAGGAGCTGCTGGACAGGGTCCAGCAGAGGCCACAAAGATGATTTGGGGTTTGGAGCATCTCTTAGGAGGAGAGACTGTGGGAGCTGATTTTATACTCCATGTTCTTGATGTTTAAACCGTGTGGCTCAGGCTAGGACTGGTAGCTGAATAGACATTTAGAATATAGACATCTCTGCTCTGGCCTTTTCCCCAGTTTTATTCTGGCCAAAGCACTTATTTTCACATTTAGCAGAACAGCCCAGACATCTCAGCATTGTTTTCTATTTGGCCCTGGAAAGGGATGGGCCCACATCCAGGAAGGTACTTAGGATTCGATTTCAGCAGGATATAGATGCTTTATATATTTATAAAGGCTGCTTTCATTTAAGTTTTGCTGATCTGTTGATACCTGTGTACAGTCTGAAGCCACATGCTCTTCCAGAACAGGTTGGTAGCTGATTTTTGGAGGTATTTTGGAGGTTCTTATGAGGTTTCTGGTTATCTGCCCTCAATTCCACATTGTGCTCTGAGCACACGCTAAATGTCAGCTTCTGGGGCATTTCTTGCATGTTAAGAGTCTCATGATACAAAAAAAAATGATGATAATTTGCTGTCATGAGTGTTGCTTTCTGTGCCTGGTATAATATTTTGATTTGCTTCAAGTGGCATGGCCTTCCCTTGTGCTGCTTATGGTTCAATGGGTTATTTGTGCAAATTTGGGAACGTTCCTATTTCTCTGTGTGAATGTCCATGGTGGAATCCCCTCAAAATCCCTTTTCCAAAGTGCCTGTTGTTTCTTCCCATCAGTTCTTCACAGAGTTCCAGAGGCCTGTGGTAGTGGCTGTCCTTTGCAAGAGGTCAGGAAAATTTGGGAAACTTTCCTGGTATTTCATTGATATCATGACTTGTCTCAACGAGGCTGTTTCAGATGTGTTTATCTCTCCAAATACCCAGCTCTTATGAAATTACGTGGTATTTCACCCTGCTCTTTTAAATAAACCAAACAGTGTCTGCTCAAATAATCCATTGCATCATGGCATGAAACACAAATCTCAGCCACACTCGACTTCTTAATGAGGAGAGCTGGGAGGTTTCTAGAAAGGTCCTCTGGTGAGAGTCTCACTGTACAGAGGAGGCATGAGTGTGCTTCTCTGTTTCTTCATCTGCACTAAAAACTGTGGTTAGTTGTCTTACTCAAGAGAAAGGGATTTAACAACAATTTGAGTAGTGTTTAGAAAAAATTGGGGCCTTCTAGGGGTATGGGTTTTAGCAGATCTCTTTTTATTTTTCATCATTATACGCAAAAAAGTATGGCCTTAAAGAAAGCCAGCTGATGTTACAGTTCTTAACCTCACTGACCCTTATATTTCTGTCTTTGCTTCATTTCACCTGTCAGAGCTGATCTCTTTATGACCATTTGTCATTTTAGGCCTTTTTTCCTTAATGTCCTCCCCATTAGGTTTTTCTTGCAATCTGTCAATGTTTCTTTTCTTCTTTTCCCTTTTCCTTTTCCTTTTCCTTTTCCTTTTCCTTTTTCCTTTTTCCTTTTAATTTTTATTTTTCCTTTTCCATTTTCGTTTCTCATTTTCCTTTTTCATTTCCCTTTTCCCTTTTCCTTTTTCCTTTCCCTTTTTCTATTTCTTTTTCCCTTTCTCCAAACACCTTTGATTTTGATTCTGGTTACTTGTACTCCTGACACCATATAGAGCTTGCAGAGATCATGAACATCAAATGAGCCAGGAATTTCTTATTCTTGTCCAGACTCATTAACCAGCTGGCTGATGCTCTGTATGCAGGACTTAAAAAAAAAAAAATCCAAAATCTTTAGATATCTTAATCCAGTTGTTGGTTCAAGGGATCATGGTCAGGCCTTGGCACATTGCAAAGATTGCCCTGAGGTATTATTACAAAACTTTTATCTGATAGATTCTGGCATTTCATCAGTCAGTTTAGTCTTGCAGGTGACTCCAGGTTACCTCCGAGCCCACAGCGGGGTAGTGCCAGCATTATTGCTGCTCACCAGCTCTGAAGCATCTTTTGAACGGCCCCTAATCTAATCTGAAAGCATGATTTCATTTCTACCCTTTTATTACTATTAGAAGGCATAAAGCAAGGCTTAAAAAGATTTGGAAATGGACAATTCCAGTTAATCTTATTGAGGCTATTTTCCTCTGGCTATCCTAATCTAGTCTCCAAATTAATTGCAATGGTCACTGCAGTCCTGTTAATGCCCATTTTCTCATTAAAGGTTTGTTTAATTTTCCTTCTTTTACTTCTGATTTTTTCAAAATCACTTTTGAAAGAGGGAAAAACTGGTGTGGATAAGGGAGAACTGGAATGAAGGCAGGGAACATAGATGCATAACCCCATTTGAAGAAAGGACACAATAGTAAAACTGCTGCTAATAAGGAAGAAAGTGCTATCAGGCTTTCCTAAAAACCTAGTTTTAACAGCAAATCCATCATCCCCCTTTCTCCATGAGCTGTAACCGGGTCAGTCCTTTCTAGATTACACATTTTTCAGCTTTGATTTTGATTCTGGTTACTTGTACTCCTGACACCATATAGAGCTTGCAGAGATCATGAACATGAAATGAGCCAGGAATTTCTTATTCTTATCCAGACTCATTAACCAGCTGGCTGATGCTCTGTATGCCGGACTTTAAAAAAAAAAAATCCAAAATCTTTAGATAATTTTCTTAAAAGTCCAGTTTTAACAGCAAATCCATCATCCCCCTTCCTCCCTGACCTGTAACCGGGTCAGTCCTTTCTAAATTACACATTTTTCAGCTCAGCGAGAGGATTTTTGGATCCCCTTTCAGGTGATTTACCTGCTCATTTTCTTTGGGTAGGAGAAAGCAGCGGTTTTGCTGCTGCTTTTAGGAGGAAACACTTGGCAGAGAGGATGTTTGAGACATTGGAACGGGCTGCTGGGGAAGGTGGGGGAATGAGCGGCCCTGGATGTTCCAGGAAAGGTTGCACGAGGCTGCCGTGGTGTGATTGACAGGGTGGTGTTGAGTCAGAGGTTGGACTCGATGGCCTCAGACGTCTTTCCCAGCCCGATCGACTCAGGGACTGAGTTTTTTATCCTAAAACGGGGAATTCCGCCATCGCCTCAGCGCTGAGGGGAGCCGCGCAGCGACCCCTGCCCCAACCGCCCAGCGCCATGAGAGCGCTCCTCTGATTGGGCACACCTCCCGCTGATCCGGCCGCTCATTGGTCGGCAGGCAGAGGGGCTTAAGAAACCTCTGCGCCGATTGGTCGGTGCTGGCGTGCCGGGCCAGCCGCGAGGAGAGCGGGCTCTGGGCTGATGTGGGGCCAGGCGCGCCGCAGCCAATCAGGTGCGGCGGCGTCGGGGCCGCCGTGCCCCGCGCGGGATCCGTCCGCAGCGCGGGCCCGCCCGGCCCTGAGGGGCGGCGGCGGAGGGGTCACGGCGTGGACGGATGGGTTATAAATGAACATTTGTCCAGCCAAATTAAAATAAAAGAAAATTAAAATATTTATTTTGCAATCAAATTCTATCTAGCCACAAGGAAAGAACAGTGCCGAGCCCGGGGTCGGCGCTGGGTGTGCAACAAAGAGGTCAGGCTCAGCAGAGGTTTTCCTCCATGCCCACACACCTCCATCCTGGCACAAGCGGTTTTTATAGGGAAAATTCTGCCTGAGGCCAAGATTTCGGCAGTCAGTCTTTTCTTCCTTTCAGAGTCTATAGGTTAATAAGATTTTCATTTTTGGTGATGAGGAAGAACAATTCAGTGTCTGGGAGTTGTTGAATCCCTTGATGAAATACACAGGTATTGCATTCCCATGTATCTGCCCGAGGATTTCCATGAGATCCATCTCATGTCGTTCATGGGATGATCAGCGCCTGGGTGTCCCCGTATTTCTCCAGACATGGCCCATCTCCCATCTCCTGGCCGAGCCACATCCTTTTACCTGTAAATTGGGTTTCAACATACACCAGGTTTTGCCTGCGAGGGTCGAGAGTCGGGGGGACTCCTAATACAAACGCGTATACTCCAACAAGTCCCTTTTGGGTTGTGAAGTGTTTATGACACTAACAGAGCTTTAAACCTGTGTGGGTGCAACCATTGCTACATGACACGCGGGCAACCAATATAAGTTATCTCTTCAGCAGATTGGAGAAGATGGATTCTCCAGGCAGTTCCCCCAGAACAGGCTAAAGATCCCAAGGCCATTGAACCCTCTGGCAGCTGGACACTGGAGCTCCCATCCATCCTGCCTTCTCCCTTATCTCCGTGCTTGGCAGGTGTCCGGCCGCGGATTTCACACTTCCACTGACCTCTGAGTGCTGCCAAGGCGAGGGAGGCATGTCGGGCAGATAATGTGTTCCCATTCCGCCTCCCTGA